TACATTAATACCTTGCATCATCTATGTACCTCATTATCCTCACAATGCTACGATACTTAACCTCAGACAAGAAGCGAAAGCGTGACGACAGCCAGTCGACCGATGCAGATCAGTCTAGCGGATCTGCCAAACCCTCAAAGTCTGGACGATCATTTTGTAAGTCGTGGCTAACGACTTTCACTTGGTTGACATACAATGAGGATTTGCAGATTTTATTTTTTTCAGTAGCTAATCCTATATGATATCTTGATTGACCGCCATTTTGCTTTCTCGGACGATCGATATCCAATTTTTTTATGGTCAATATTAAGTACAGATGAAATAAGTATTCAAATAACTATTGCTATCAACGATATTTTAGTATTTGTGATTAAATTATCTGTCTTGTTTTTAAAAAAATCTTTAGTTTAAAAAAACACTTTTCCCGTGAGGTCACGTGATAACCAAATATGGGATAATAGTCTCGATCCAAATGTTACAACGCGTACACTTGAGCAGACTCATGAATATAACTCATGAATATTAATTAGACTGTTCACTACGTTAACAGATCGTTACTATAACAGAAACAAACGTATGTTTTCCATTTAAATCTGATATTATCATTAAAATGATATTATTTCTTATTAATTGTCCGGTGAATTAAACAATTTAAATTGAAACAATTCATAATTCATCATATTATGAATACGTAAACTTGTAATGTGTGTGAAAAGTCGTACTAAAATACGCTATTTTAAGGGGGCGTGGCCTAAATGCAAATGTCCGATTGGGATTTTAAATTTTCCGGACCCCTGATTGTGAGAGCAATGACTATACAAATACAACCAATGAAAGGAATTAATATACAAATTAAATACAACGCTTCAATATCCCAGATTCAAATACTGCAGCAAAAACCTGGTGAAAACTTAACAATAGCCTGCTAGCCTCGGGCTAGTACAAATTCCAGCAGGCTTGTACAAATTTCCAAATTTCCCCGACCCGTGAAGATCCATGGTAGAAAAGGTCTTTAGCAACCTATGCTTGTCATAAAAGGCAACTATGCTTGTCATGAAAGGCGACTGAAGGGATCGGATGGTCAGGCTCGCTGACTCGGTTGATGCATGTCATCGATCCCAATTCCGTGTCACATGGCTGGAATATTGCTGAGTGCGGCGTTAAAGAACAAACCAACCCATTGTTTCAACATTACACGGGCATCCTATCTTTAGTCAGGCTTGTTAAACCTTCGCGTTTAGTTCAATCCCTCATGAACCCAATGATCCCTTGCTTTTAAACACAGGATATATCAACAAAGGTGGACATTTGCTAGATAATGTCCATAGTGCCATAGAGGGGGCATGGGTGGCCCAGTCGTCTAAGGCGCCGCGATTCGCTGTGCAGAGTTGCGTCCCTTGGGCACACCGGAAACCTATGGTTGTGGGTTCGAATCCCGGTTCGCCCCAATTATGTTTCTAGGTTTGTCAGCACCATACCCGTGCACGTGGGTTTCACCGAAGTGGTAAACGTCTGAGACCTGCATCACTTCAGGCTTTTCTCCCACATTAAGCTGACACGCCGTGATATAACTGGAATACTGTTAAAGCGGCGTTAAACCCAACTCACTCACTCACTCACTCCATAGTGCCATAGAGGTCAGCATAAAAGTTGATCCTATGTTTACTCAGACAGTCTTTGAAAATGACCATAAAGTTCTCACATACTCAATATTAAACGTTAGTATCATGATGTATAGTGTTCTATATTATTAATTATGGGTTAATGCAACAGGCTGCTTTTCCTTATTGATACACTGTACACAGATGCCAGGGGAGTTCAATGATCTAATGTCCACATCATTCTCGTGACATTCTGTGGTGTTACTATGAGCCACGAGTCTCAGGCATGCAACAGCAAGATCAGAATATTTAATTTATTTTGTCTAGTGTGCACATATATGAGTCTTTAAAGGAGAATACAGTAAACTACTGTTCAACAAACCATTTAATATCAGGGGCTGCAGAGGGCTGTTATAAACAGCAGGGTTAGAAATTGGCACTAGTCCTATAGTCCTTGTCAAACTGCCCAGTAGTTAAGGTATCATAAGGACTAGTAGAAATTTGCCATTTTTAAGGGTTTTGCTATGTGTTATCATTATAAGGACTAGTGGTACAAAAATGTTAGTTCAACCGCTGCTGTTATAATGAACTTAAAGGGATCACTTATTTTAGTTTGCTATAACTATAGTTCGTATACATATACAGCATATACACAGCAAATGGCTGGGACCCAAAAATATATTTGTTATATCCGTCAGTTCGTTTTAAGCGTTTACTGTACAATAATTAAATGGGTTAAAGATAAAGTCATCATAAACATGTACCTAAATTTTTAATGCAAAAGTATTTTCATTTATGTCTTAATTGCGATAACAGTAACTGATTTTTGGCTTGGGCCATTATGCATATTCCGCTACAATGTGTAAGTATTCACATTTAAGAAGTCCATTATATGATCTTAGAGCTTTCCTTTGGTAGTCCCCAAGGCCCCATAAATTTTGAAAATATTTTCAATTTTGACCCTGAACGTGTTCTCAAATCTGTAAGTAATTGTCAAGAAAAAACATTAAAACTTACAGTTAACATATTTTGTCAAACCTGACATATTTTCGTTAACCTTTAAGTGTAACCTTGCCTTGTTTCTACCTCTCAGGCCAACTGTGTGACAACCAGCTATGTTCTCAATCCCATTAGCCAAATAGTTTGCCAGCTGGATACAAAACACTATGTCACATTGTGGCAATAGACGTCACACTTAGCTAGGACATTATACATGTTATCACAAGGCATAAGTTGTTGTAATTGTGTTATTACATAGCAAATAGTTTTCCCTTGTGTTTGTTAAACACACTAATGTTCATTAGTCCCTGGCAGCTATAGCAACTATCCTTGCCAAACTGCCCAACAGTTAAGGTATCATAAGGACAAATAGAAGTTTGCCATTTTACAGATTCTCCTATATGTTATCATTATATACGTTACAAGGACCAATGGACTAAAACTGTTAGTTTCTATCGCTGCTATGTGCCATGTTTGGTGAAGAAACAAAGCACAGTTTTCAAGATCTGCTCCAGAAACAAGCACGAACCCCATTTCGGGCCTAAGTAAAAGTTGTTGCCATGGAAACTTGGAAATTATATTTTTCAAAAATCCCAAACTATCCCAAAGGCACCAGTCTACCACTAGGCCTATCTGTGTACCACGTATGGTAAAGAAATGTACGGTTTTCAAGATCTGCTCCAGAACCCACATTTAGAACTGACGGACGCACGGATGGATGGATGCACAGTGTCCATTCTAATACCCCCGCAAATTGTGTTGTGGGGGATAAATATGGTAATTTGCAATGTGTCAGTGACAGTCAAACATAATGAAAGGTTTATCAAACATGTCAAAAGGGAACAGCAACAAATTTACATTAGTGGCATTAGATATGGACCATATTGGGGTGGTAAGAAAAGCGTAGCGGCCTGGCGGCCTTAAAATTTACAAGCCCCATGAAGGGATTCGAACCACACAAAAGCTACGGCGCAACTCGAACAAAACAATAAAATGGTTTGGGGATAGAGTGAGTGAGTGAGTGAGTATGGTTTTACGCCGCTTTTAGCAATATTCCAGCAATATCACGGCGGGGGACACCAGAAATGGGCTTCACACATTGTACCCATGTCGGGAATCGAACCCAGGTCTTCGGCGTGACGAGCGAACGCTTTAACGACTAGGCTACCCGACCGCCCCCTTTGGGGATAGAAGGCTCCAGATTAGGGTAAGTTGCAAAATGGAAGACTGTACTGCTTATTCATCCCATAGCCCGCTAGGAACCAGCTGGTGCTGTAAGTATGGAATTGATGAGGCCAACTCCTACCCCACCCAACACAATGAGCCATCTATCTACCAGCAGCTTGAGGTAACAGCTAGTGAATACACTGGACAGCCTATCAATTAATCAGTGTGATCAATAGGGCTAGCCAGGCTATTAACTGACAGGTGCTCTCACAGCTTATGCAATGGCTGGACTGTCTTTATTCAGATGAGTCAGAGCATAGACAGTCAAGTCCCGTTAATCCGACATAGTTGGTTGCATATGATTGTGTCAGATTAACTAGTATGTCGGATAAACAAAATTAAGTAGTATCGATGTACATGATCAAAAATCAAACAACTACACGATAGATAATGTTACAAACGCGTAATAAAAAATGAAAAATGAAAAATGAAATATTCATATTGTTATGTTACTGTAATACATTGTTAGCAGAATATGTTTTCATGCAACCTCTAAAGCATAACACAATACAACTGTTACTGACTGTATGACTGATTCAAAATAGACTGGAATGGAAATCGCCAGTTTGAAACTGGTACCGCAAAGGTCAAGAAAGCTGCTTTCTAAGTGGCTATGTCGGCTTCCTGTTGGTCATTTCATTGGTTGGTCAAAGTTCGTGAAAGATCGGTCTGATGTGTATCTGCAGTGTTAGAAATTAAAGGGGTTCCTAGGGTTCTTGAGGTGTGCAACCAAAGTATTTGAATCCAGTGATCCCCTTCATGCATTATGCCGAACAGTGAAATTTGGGAGTGAACAGGCTTAAAAAGACGAACAGAATTTAAACCTCCAAACTATGTACTTTGGGCAAAGATGATAATTAATAATTGTTTAAATGTAGTTTGGACCCAGTCCATTGCTGTTTTAAATGTTCCAGGTGTGAAATAATACAGGATTAAAATAAGTGTGTGTCCCATGTCATACCATCTGCGAATATTATCAATGCACCGATGTATTGGTGAATCGTGACATCCCTTAGACGTTTGCATCATGACCTGCAGTTGTGTCAGTTTTATTTGTTCAAAATTCAAGTTCAGAATGGCCAGGCCCAGTGAATTCCTGGCTCATATCAACTGCAAGAACAACAGCTGGATATCATCATTATGGTTCAATTTGAAATACGTGCTAATACTTACATATAGGATATCCCAAAGCGAAGTCATTACTCTGTGTGCTGAAAATACCATTGAGTCCCGCATAGCCAAGATTCAGAGGTCGCTTAACAACCAGAGTGACCAGAACCACGACAACAAACACAAAAGTCTTGGCAATCAAGATGCTCCAGAGAAACGTCCAGTTGACAGAGCTGAAGTTCAACTCACACATGCTCTTAAAGAGAAGGGCAGGAAGACAGAAGTTGGAGACAAACGAGCCGATGCCTTTGCCCTGAGTGCTGGTGATGATGCTTGCCCGACCAGCGATGTACCCTCCCAGAATGATGACAAAGCATTGCAGAATGGCGGGGTACAGATTGTCAAAAGACACCTCGATGGGTCCACTTGAGTTTCCAGAATGATTTGTTGAATTCATTTTGAAAGTTTTGACTTTCAGATCATGAAATGACCGGTGCTAGCACATCCGCTCTGGAAGAAAGAACAGTAATGGATGATGATTGTTATTGGTACATATAAACAGATCTAGAGGATACAAAAGCACTACTCAAAAGAAGTTAAAAGAGAGGGTGAGTTGGGTTTAACACCGATTTAAAAGTATTCCAGTTGTATCACAGCATGTCGGCTGAATGTGGGAGGATAGCCGGAAGTGATACAGGTCTCTGAGTGAGTGAGTGAGTGAGTGAGTGAGTGAGCTTTTAACAGTAATTCAGTTATATCGCGGCGTGTCAGCTTAATGTGGGAGGAAAGCCCGAAGTGATGCAGGTATTAGACGTTTACCACTTCGGTGAAACCCACGAGCACGGGTAGGGTGCTGACAAACCTAGAAACATAATCGGGGCGAACCGGGATTCGAACCCACAATCATAGGTTTCTGGCGTGCCCAAGGGACGCAACTCTGCACAGCGAATCGCGGCACCTTAGACGACTGGGCCACCCGTGCCTCCCGATACAGGTCTCTGACATTTGCCACTTTGTTGAAACCACGGCTGCACCCTCGAGCACTGGTATATTGCTGACAAACCAAGTAACACAATCAGGGCAAATCAGGTTTTGAACCCACAAACCCTTAGGTTTCCTCGTGCCAAAGGGACACAACCCTGCACAGCAAATTGTGGCACCTTAAGAGGCCTTGGCCACCAGTGATCCCAGAAGTGAAAGAACACCCAATTCTAAATCATATTTAACTGTCGCTAATAAGAAAGAATGAGTTTCTAAATTGTCTTTTGAGGATACATTTGGATAAGTAGGGGTGCAATTCACATTCAACACTTGTGTTATTTTGTTCCTCATATAATACCCAATGAGTGCGCCATTGTTGCTATATGTCTACAATCATCATACCAGGGCCACTAAAATGATCATGTCTCACACTTTAACATAAGCTTATGATAGTCATAGCGCTAAGAATGTTTTGTGAAACTCGACCCAGATCACAAAAACAATTCCTGAATGAATAAATGTTTAATCTGCTTCAAAAATGGGGTGGGTAGAGGTGCAGCCTGTGTTTATAGGTGTGAGAAATACTAAAAGTATAACTTTGATATGATTTTCAAACTCTGGATTATGGTTTACTGCATTCATAACATAACATAAATAGAGACTCAAAAATACCATGTTATATTGATTACCGTATTCGACGTAATAAGCGCCCCGCTCTAATAAGCGCCCACGGCGTTATTTGCTAATATAATGGCTAGTGAACAATCCCAGTTAGCACCCTTTTCAATTGATCAATGTACACAAGACTTATTTATTCGTGTATAATATGCACTCGTTTGTTATATGCACCCTTAATTATGGGCAATTAAATTCTCGAAAATATATCTATCGTGTATAATACACACAGATTCTTCTTTCATATCATTTCAGGCTGTCAGCATAAACCACAAAATTTCAACCTTTCAACCTCGTTTTTAATCTCACCAAAATTATATTCTAATAAGAGTCCCCTATTTCTAATTTTGAGGGCGCCCTGGGCGCTTAATACGGTAATATCAAAATTAAATAATCTGTGTGTGTATAAACAAAAATGACATATGTAGACATGCAATCAATTAATGCAATATATGAACTGGCCTGATACAATAAATGTTTAAAATTTTCATTTCTGCCTTCTCATTGGGTGTCTTTACAATGGTAATCTTAATAAATATAAACGTTTCTGTGACAGTGAATTATTAAATAGCATCTTCAGTACCAATATTTGCACCTTATCTGATAAAACTGTACATAAAATTGAAGACATGAAACCTCATACAGAAATCAACTTCTTTATTGTTTGAAACAATGTTAAAGGGCTACTACATCACATTCATCATCTCATGGGGGTGCTGAGTGGCCTGAGTGGCCCAGTCGTCTAAGGCGCCGCGGTTCACCCCGATTATGTTTCTAGGTTTGTCCACCATACCCAGATCGTGGGTTTCACCGAAGTGGTAAAGGTCTGATACCTGCATCACTACGGGCTTTTCTCCCACATAAGCTGACAAGCTGTGATATAACTGGAATAATGTTAAAAGCGGCGTTCAACCCAACTAACTCACTCTCTCATCTGATGGGACCCATTAAATCTTTAAGTATTAACACAACGGCAAAAACTAGGACAAGGACTCTGTGTTTTTCACGCATGATATAAAACTTGCTGGTCTGTTTATGTAAGAAAGAAGTGGTGCAGTACAAACCTTGACTTACTTTGCTACCTGAACGATGCAGTCTCAGTCACATGAGCATAAGCATATGTTCTAAAAAAACATAAGCTGATGTTTATTGAGAAATCATTTCATCAGGGCCACTATCAAAATGGTTCATTGTGAATTAAGAAACAAACCATTTAATATCAGAGGCTGCAGAGGGCTGTTATAAACAGCAGGGTTAGAAACTGGCACTTGTCCTATTGTCCTTGCCAAACTGCCCAATAGTAAAGGTATCCTAAGGACTAGTATAAACTTGCCATTTTTAAAGGTTTTGCTATATGTTATCATTATAAGGACTAGCGGACTGAAACTGTTAGTTTCTACCGCTGATTACAGTATCTTGTTTCAGAACTTCACTGGTTCAAAGTTTTTCAGTCAACAGGTGAAAGGAAAAACAATTATGTTATTTTTCTATAACATATTTATTAACAATACACAGGGTTTAATAACCTGTCGCACTGTCCATGATGGGTTTAATTCTACCGAGGAAGGTGAAGAACAAAGTCGACCTGACCCATTGTGGAGTATTGTACGTTTTTCTGCCAATATAGTATGCAATACATATCTCCATATGTCCATTTTGTTTGAAAAACAACAACGCTAATTCAAGTTTGCAGTAACAGACAACATATGCATCATCACTTTTTGATTCGCGATCGGTAGTATTTTTCAAGACTTAGTAGCCAGTCCTGTGGCCTCGGGAAAATGTATTTCAAGTAGAAATCTAGACCTATGCAACCCTTGTGTCCGACTCCAACAAACGATCAATTTATTTTAGGGCAAAAAATCCTGCGACCGGGCAAACTATTATTTTCATTCTTTTCTGAAACATTTTTTGTTCAAAGAAATCCTTATCATCACTCGACAGACAATATAACATGGTTGTCTCTACGACGCGATCATAACAAGACAAGTCAATATTGAACTGAACAAACACAAAAATCATATTCACACACTATAAATTCAAACATACACTGGTTTCTTAATTACACTTTACAAATATTAAGGAATAAATGTGTATTACTTACATAAGACTGTTAACTATCTCCCAATCATGCAGCATCAAGTCACAACATCATCAGCTAGGTTACATGGATCCACCTGAACGCCCACGAAGCGAAGCACCGCTACTTTGTCAAATCACTGTTCTTTCAACTAAGCCGACAGTAATAGGCGACCTAATGAAAATTCACCTAGCAGGTGCACGTTAGTCGAACAATATCACCGTTATACCTCGTGGGGGTTTTGCTAACCATTTTATCATTGAGAAATTCGGCTAGCAGCCAAACACTTTTAAGGTGACTGGCATAAGTGCACATGTTCGTCTGCTTGCCGCTAGGTGGCGCTATCACGCAACATGAATGGTGACTTGCTCGTTCTTTATTCGAATATTAACCGGCTAAAATATGTCCCAACAAATAACAAATAATATATGTCCCACGTGTCATTAGAATATACTATAACAATTCAACAATTCAAATTAGCCATACCGTGAAGGGTGATTGTCTAAATATCTCTGACAAAAGTAATTTTACATGTATTCTCCACAGCAACGTACGTTCCCTTTAAGAGACTAATCGCAGTCTACCTCCCGTTGTTTCCGTCAAACATCTGTCCGAAGCCCACATCACGAAATTATTGTCAGTCTGATAATGTATCTATTTAAAGGTTGTACACAGATTTGTTGATTTCTCAGATAATGCGTTCGGAATTCAAATATCGTTGTAATAGCAGGGTTTATATCAGTCAAAGAAAATGTCAGTACAAATTCCCAAACTGAAATTAAAACTTCATGTAATACTAGCGAAGCTTTTTAGGGCCATTTTTCTTCTTAAAATTTCAAGATACTAAGTTGAAATTTCAAGATGCTAATTTGAAATTTCAAGATAATAACTTAAACTGTCAAGATACATTAGTATGTTGAAATTTCAAGGGGAAAAAACAACAACAAAAAACAAATGGACCTTAAGGCTTCCGTTAGTCTGTCTTACAGACCCTGATACAAATATATATCAAATACAGCCCATGCAAGTCTATAATGTTTGGCAAGTCTAGATCACTGCAGTATCATTCTGAAAATGAAGAGAGTCACTGGGCTCCTTTTTATTATATTTTTATTAAGATAACTGAACAACTGTTTTTTTATGTACGATATGTTCATTTCAGAGACTAGATGTTAGTCTAGGCTTCCATATAAGACAGTCCCAACTTACGTTTTATATCTTTGTGGAAGTGACCTATATTTCACTGATAACAGGAACAATAAAAAGGAAGAAGTTAGTTTTACATTATGTCATTGAGTGCAATTTGAAAATAAATATGACAAACATGTTACAAACAGATTTTACAAGTTATTTGTCATTACCCGACTCGGACTAAGGTAGATCTACCCGTTTTTTTCTGAAATCCATGGAATATTAAGTTGAACTTTTATTGAAATCGGGTTTTAATAGCGACCTATAGAAAGAAAAACATCATGAGCATCGATCCACGCAATTGGGAAACGATGACATGCATCAACCAAGTCAATAAGCCCGACCGCCTCTTGCTGGCACATATATTCGCCATTAAATCTTCTTTAAACTGATATATATTTACCGTATTTATCTACAACATATTAATTACTTACAAAGTTACAAAAGCTAACAGAATGGTATGGGTATTTATACCGCGGCAAAAAGCAAAATACAAATTTCTTTACTGCCTTAAAAGGTACATTTGTGTGATAATCTACTCCCAATCCGTGCCTTCTACATTCTTATTCATGTATATTTGGACATTTTTATTGCGCAAAAAGTAAGGATAACATTTATCATCATGCACAGATGTTGCACACAAAACGAATTGATTTGGCGTGCCGTTGATATGTTTAGTGAATACACGGAGCATCCGGCCAGGACAGATCAATATGTGGCAACACATGTTGCTGTATATATCTAACAAAAGGTTGTGTGAAATCATAAGGTCTAAATAATAGGCATATTAATCCTGTATATATTGTATCTGCATGAGGTGAGTTGAGTTGAATCGGCATAAATTTGGAGCTCGATAGTCATGTGATGTCGTTGTTTTGTACAAGTGCATTGAAAACTGTTCATTGTCATGTCACATAAGGCCACAAGGTTGCGCTGAACTCGTGTGACCGCCCCGGGCAGCAATCACGGCTCTGCATCTCCACGGCACCGACTGGATAGGTGTACGAATTCTGTCCTGCGGAATTCTGCGGAATTCTGCTTCTAACGCGTTGGTCAGTTGTGGGAATGTCTGCGGCGTGTTCTGGCGTTGACGTACACGTCGATCGGGTGGGGGTGGGGTGTCACCAGAAATGGGCTTCACGCATTGTACCATGTAGGGATTCGAGCCCGGAGCTTCGGCGTTCGTCATTTTGTGACTTGGTGACACGATTTGAATATAACTTCATAATTGTTGAAAGCGGCGTTAATCCCATCCTCGCTGTTCAGTGTATCATGTCTTTCTATGTGCAGGAGGTATTCAATACCCGGTAAACCAGTGTCAGTTTTCGAAATGGCTATTTAGTCAGTTCAAGGCATAGTCCTTCTCCATGGAATATTAATTTCAACTGTTATTCAAATCGGGTTTTAATTGCCATTTTAAAAGGAAGATGACAGAATTACGAGTTACATATCTTCCCGAGGCAAGGGAGTTACCTGACTGTAAAAGTCTAGTTTCCACCCTTGCCGAGCGGGGCTGGAAATTTTGGCTTCGATCGTAGCGCCCCCAGTGGCTATTACGAGTTATAGCCCATGTCCCTCCTATGGACCAATCAGATTGCACCTCATATCACTTGCAATTGCGGCGCCAAGTCAAGACGATCTGATCGATAATCAAAATCTATATTGTGTTAAAACGGGTCTTACTTCGCGTTGTGCATCAAATCACGTGATCACCCTGATTAAAAACGTGAAAAGGGAAATATCTGGTTATGCCGAGTTGGCGGTACACTTGCTTTGCAAATCCTGCAATCGACCGAAATCTGCACGGCAGTTTACGACCCGGATGTCGATTTGGTTACGTGATTTTGATTGGACTAGGCTCGTTAGTCCAGCCAAAATATAACTCCATAGTATCTAGTTCGGCAAGGATGGAAACTTGAATATATAGTTAGTTAACTTCTTTATCTCGGGAAGATGCGAGGTATATAACAGTTATATAATGTTATAAGACGCATGTTTCTCTCGCCATATTAGGAAGTGCTATAGTGGTAACATTAATGTTTGTTAACATAACCATAGTACGTATATACAGATAAGCTGGATGTCCTAAGATATGTGCGATACCATTTTTTTAACTGTTCGGTTCCATCTTTCTGAGAGAAAAGTCTTGAAGCATGCAGTGACCGAAAACTCATCCACCCACTCACTCAACCATTTAACTACCCAACCACCCACGCTTTTACTCACTCACTCACTCATTCAAAGGCGAAAGAGTGCATCTAGAGGGGAATCACTCACTTTAACTCTTTTCTTTCACAATGTATAAGACCGCCTCCGTGGTCTAGTTGGTAGAGCGTCCGCCCGTAGAGCGGAAGGTCCGGAGTTCGACCCCCGGCCACGGCATACCAAAAGACGTTAAAAGATGGTACTTGTTGTTACCCTGTCTGGCGCTCGGCATTAAGGGGCTAAAACAAGGACTGGTCGGCACGGAGTCAGTATACTGTATCTGAGTGGGGTATTCATGTTAAACTGCGGCATGGTATCTCAGTGGGGTAGCACTATAAATCGGCATCAGTCCGGACTAGTACAGGCACACACACACACACGTACATGCACGTCGCTATATATGTGCAATAATCTTGGACCCTACGTTACACCCAATTTCACCTCACCTCACCTCGCTATGTATAAACGCCCTGGTATAGCAGATATACATCATCCAAACAAATATATCAATCATTATAACCCACACTAAAACACTACTTATAGGAAGATATCACTGTTACACTGACGGGAGGCACGCGTGTAGAAAGCTGGGCAATGGCTGTGAAATTGTATGTCGCTTTAGAAATAACCAGGTGAAGGCTGGTCATCAAATTGCCATGGTTGTTATGTTAGGTGGAGGTTGAGAAAGTATAGGGCACCAGTGTATTGCCTTGTGCTCCCCGTCCGCTCTCTTCCGTCTCCGGGGGGCACGGGTGGCCCATTCGTCTAAGGCGCCGCGATTCGCTGTGCAGAGTTGCGTCCCTTGGGCACGCCAGAAACCTATGATTGTGGGTTCGAATCCCGGTTCGCCCAAATTATGTTTCTAGGTTTGTCAGCACCATACCCGTGCTCGTGGGTTTCACCGAAGTGATAAACGTCTGAGACCTGCATCACTTCGGGCTTTCCTCCCACATTAAGCTGACACGCCGCGATATAACTGGAATACTGTTAAAAGCGGCGTTAAACTCAACTCACTCACTCTTCCGTCTCCGAAACATACCCAGGGTCACTGTCACGTGCCCGGGATACAAACTATCTTAAAGTTTGATTTGGATCGACAGGTGATAAAAGTAATCCTGGCCTGATCTGGGTCTTTATAATGTTCTTATTATACAATCTGACAGTGGCATTTCATTGTCATTTTAATTGTCAAAGTGATCTTTAAAAAATCCCTTGCAATATTGATTTTATTTTTTGTTTCGAATGCTAAGATCGGCGGATCCGAACCAAGTGAAACAAATGTAAGGGCTTCCTACTATATGTACCCAATTGGGGTCCGGAGGTCCAAGCATCTTTCCGAGGCAAGGGAGATATAACTGACAGTCATTTAACTCCCTTGCCTCAGGAAGACGGTCCCAAACGACCTATTAATAGACGACCAAATGGATAGACTCGGGGACTTGGTTGATTCCCTGTCAGCGTACCCAATGGTTATATACACACTGGTTTATCTGGTCCAGACTCGATTATATACAGACTACCGTCACATAATTGGACTATTGCTGAGTGCGGCGTTAAACCAACCAAATTCCCCCACCACCGCTACTGATTTTACAATAATGAGTAAATGCATGTTATTTTACGCTAGGGTCATTCATCTTCATCTATAGCCTTTATAAGCATAAGCTCTTCTATATTCATACGGGTATGGAGTGTACAAAGTCGTTGGTAGCACGATACCATATGATGATAATAATAATAATAATAATCGATTTATATGGCGCTGTACTCTATGCATAAGCATGCTCTAAGAGCTTAGACGTTATTACCCCGGTCAATGGATCAGTGTGCACTCGACAATCATTCTCAGCTCCCTGGGGAGTATACAACCCAATCAGCCTGTTAGGCGCTAGGAGGGTAACAACCACATTGCCATTTCATCCTACCGGGTACCC